ATAAAATAAAAGAGGGTACCTTCAGTACCTTTCCAAAGTAAAGGAGGGCCCGTAGGAAAAGAAACATCTGTGTGACCCAGGTGTATCACATTTCTCCCTTCTCTTCCCATGTCACAGCTCTACCGGGGTTCGTGGGATTTGTTTTCTTTGCTATTCAGATCTGGAGAACTCTTTTGGTTTTGATTTCCCTATTGCTGTATCTTCTATGCAATTCCTTTTCTAAAGACTGACTTACTACAGGAGAAGTGCTAGCCATTGCATTATTTGTATTGCTGTACAGTGGAGGTGTGGTTTACTAGTTCTGAGTGTGCCTCTTACCCCCCTCCCTTTTTTCTCCTTCCCTCTGTTTGTAAATGCCTGCATTTATTCTGTCAGCTTGACATGTACAAAGTGTAAGAAAGAATTTTTAAACAGGTAATAAATTATATTTATAAGCAACTGGAAAAAAAATACACCTTTTGTTCAATTGTTTAGTTCCTGGAAGCTTGGAAGTGGAGTCTTTTATTTAGTTTCTTTTTTAAAAAAAGAAAATCTCCTCAGAAGAAATGTTTCTGTACATAAGAACTGTGGATTCAGTGGCATGCCAGGGGCAATGTGCAGCCAGGGCTTGGTCACCTCAATGTGGCCAGGTCAAGGGGGCTGTAGAAATGCTGCTGGGGAATAACTGCAATGCCACTGAGCACAGACGGTCTGGGGCAAAGCAGGAGGGCTGCAGGGGCTGTGCAGCTGAAGAGAAAATTGCCATTATTTACACACTTCTCTGGAAATAACCAGCAAGGCAATTAAACATTAGGAAACACTGAGGTGGATTTGCAGCACAGCACTGCAGAATGAGAATAGTGCTCCAGCTTTAGGGACAAATTCCCAGAAATGCCTCACTGGATGCAGAGGTACACACCCCATGTCTCACATTAAGCAATGCCATTTTCAGCTGATGCTCGGGATTTTAGGCTGAAACTTTTTCACCTGATACATGGGGCTGGGAATTATTGCTTCAGTCTGTGCAGAGATGACTCCTGTTCCTCTTGTGCTATTAAAAATAGGAGTCAAAAGTACTCATAAAGATGTGGCAGAATGAAGGGGGGTGTCTAAAAAAATATTATGCTAATGCAGAGTTCCGATAGATTTACATAATCAGCCACAAAACACAAGCAACTGCTCTATTAGTGATAACACTATTTTAATTACTATTTTTCTCTTCACTGACTTGTGAAAGGAGTGATGCTTTTTTATGCCAGTGGAAACATATGCAACATATTGCTGTTTACTTGTTTGTTCAGATGAAAAAATCTTATAAAAATAAAATAAATAAAATGAGGCACAGTCAAAATAATCTTTCCAGGGAAATAAAACAAAAAGATGGTGCTTTTCAAGCACATGAAAAGGAAATAGCAATCTCTGTCATGGGGAGATGGAAGCAATTTTATTGGGGGGAACGTTAAAACAACCATATACAATTCGAACAAATACAACATAACACAGTTTGTTCCCCAGGTTTTCTAATTACAGTATTTACAGGTTTAATAAGGCACTGGTTCTCAAAAAAGAACACAAATTAGTTTCTTAGTCTCTACATTGACAACCTTTTCTTTAATAGAAATAACTTTGTGCTAGAGAAAGGATAGCAGTTGCTAGATGGCATCTCTCTTTTTTTTTCTTCTCCCACTTACAAATGCCATCTCACCTATGCCAGGAAGAAACTAAACTACACTTCCTTGAATGATTTACATTTGAAAAGTGGATTTCTAGACCCTTGGGCACCGAAGCCACAATTATCTTTACCAGTGACTTCCAAGCCCTCATCAACGTGCCCTTTGAAACTATCAAAATATGGAAGTGACATTAAAAGGCCACACCTGGCAAAATAAACACTAACCTGCAGTCACTGCAGGTGCTGAACCTTAATAATGACACACTGAGCATTGCAGGAAGTCACCCATGCAGGCATCCTGACTCCAATGTCACAGTGCTGGAACAAAAGACCTCCACACTTGCCTTAGGCTGTTTTTTGGCCTTAGGAATAGCCCTTCACAATAGATTACAGTGGATAGATTTGAGGGCAAAATCCAATCTTGGGAGAAAATAGGCAGGCACTAGTTACACAACCGCAGACTGTTTGCTTTCTCAGTGTGTGTCTCCTCATTTATATATATATATATATATATTTATCTATTTTCCTATACAGCACCGTTGCAGTGATTTGTCATTTATGCATTTTCATAAATAAATATTATGTTTTATTTAGTGCTTTTTCATCCATAATAGTTTACTCTTAATCCACATACTGGAGCTATTCCAGACTCGCAACTGAATATATATATATATATTTATATATATATATATATATAAAAACACATAAACTTGAACATTTAACATACACACTTTATGTGAACTATCAACCAGTATCTTAGACCCTTTTCTTTTGGACCAGAAAAAAAAAGGTAATATTTGCTCAGGAAACCAACGACTTGCAACATGCTGACAGCAGGTGCCAAGGGCATTCACTGCATGCCTCGTGCTGCCAGCTGGCAAAGCACCCTCCAAAACACTCCTGGGGAGAGAGCCCTGCTAATTTATTAAAAAATATATATATATTAGGAGGGAGGAGGTGAAACAGACCTAAACAGGGAGGACAGAAGCATCCCTGCTGTGCGAGCTGGCACCTGCAGGTCCCGTGCCCTTCTTTGGAGCTGAGAACTCTCAGTTCCACAGGGTGTGCTGGCTTCTGTGGGAAGAAATGAGACTGGAAAGCCATGGCTCCATTCACTAAGACAAAAAGGTGAAGTGAGGCTGGGCTGTCCCCAGTTTAGCCCACAAATCTCAAGGTCAAGGTGGCCAAGGAGCAAACTCTGCTCTCAGCCTCACAAACAGTTTTTAAGGATGGGGAAACCATCCTTGCCCTTCCTGGGGTCAGGATTTGGTGTATTATTAACTCTCAGAGATTTTCTTTTTGTATTGCTTGTTAAATTTGGGTACAGGCAGGGAAACTGCACTGCAGAAAAAGCATTCTATTGAACAAAAAACTTCTGATTAAGCTTTTTAACACCTATCATCATGGAGGTCTTGCTGGTTCTCTTGAACTGCGCATTTTTCTCTGTTAGCTTGAAAGTATAAAATGGTAATTTTTCCAGCTAGAAATACCTTCAGGGAGCTGTTAAGCTAAACCCCAATTATACACCTACCTACCACAAATAAATCAGTTTTGTCCAAAAAGGGAAAAAAAAAAGAGAAAGAAACATTACAGAAGTGCTGAGGCTAAATCCTGCATGGCAATTATTTCAGTTCTGAAATAGGCTTAGCATAATCAAAGCAGCATTTGTAAGGACTTATTTAAAAATTAAGCTGAACACCGTCTAGTAAAACAACATAGGCAGGCAGGAAATTTTTAAAAAACAAATGAAGGGTAAAAAAGGGTAAACCAGTAACTCCCATGCAGCTCAGCTTTGGTAATCTGAGGAAAAACAGAACCTTTCCAAAGAAAACGCTTCCCAGGGTATATTTCACCTCTCATTTCCCCTTCTGTAGCATTAGCATTGCTACAACCACTGCAGACCCAGGAAGGAGGAACAGGGGAAGACAGAAAATACGTTTCCCACTGCCCTTTTCCCCTGACAGCTCCTCTTGCTGGGAACCACATTGCTACACAGCCCCAGCCTGGCAGCTGAGCCTGGCACTGCTGTGCAGCAGCTGCCAGAGGTGTGGAGGCTGCTGGAGGGGCACACAAAACAATAATGCAGATAAAACTCGAGCCAGCAGTTCAGTTTGTGGTGTCTCACTGCAGCAGGAGTGCTGGAGGCAGGTACCCACTGCTGCCCACGGCTCCCAGCTCTCACCACCCACCCAATGTGTCCCACCCTTCCTCCCTGTCATTCCCTACTACAGCCTCAAGGCACCAGTCTCCTCACACTCAAAAAAATATGATTGCCACCCCAGAAATGGGCACTTTTGAGGTTTTTCACTTTCCCTTAAAAAAGGGAACACAGATTTATTTTTTTTCTCAGCTGTGCTTGTAGGTGGACCCCTCACATTTACACAAATGAAAGAGCAACTTAATAATTCCTTCTCACAAGGAATTTCCTCTTGAAAAGTGGTTGTTTGTGGGTCCTAGAAGTTTCAAATTACACAGCAGATTCAAATGTGTACCTTAGTTCCACTTGCACACAAAATATTTTATTTTGCAGTGGGGGAAAAGGAAGGGGAAAAAAAGCCAAGAAAATGGGCACTTGTTTATCACTGTGGTACTCTTCCCACCAGGTTTCCTAGAAACATGAAGATCTTCTTTAAAAGTCACACCAAACCATATTCATACAGCTCCCAAGTACCTTAAACAAAGCATGACCTTCCCGGGACAGGCCACCCACAGGAATCAGGCCACCCACACCAGGGATGGCAGGGATGCAATTGGGCTCCATCTCTGTACTCTGAGAATCACTTGCACACACAGGGTTTGGAAAGTTATCTCCACAAATAGGTGGCTTTTAAGGCAGGCTCCATTACAGCTCCTCTGAGCTACACAGATCCACTCACCTTTTTGTTTTTTTTAAGGCTGGAGTGCAATAGTCTTTTTGGAAATGAAAAAGTTGATTTGCTTTCATTTTCAGCAGTTTCCTCCAATTTTTTTTTTTAATGTAACAATATACATCTTTTTTACTTCTAACCCAAAAGTTTTATTTTCATAAAATTTAAAGCAGTCTCTTTTTAAACAATCAAAATAATAATAATAACAATAATAATAATAATAAAATAATAAGTGGCTTTCATGGAAAGCAACATGCATAATCTTAAACCAGTTACTAAAACTGTATTTCCCCATGTAAACAAGGGCAGACAAGCCTCTTCCATCTTGCATGCCAAAATTCAGGTGGATTTTTCAATGGATAGTCTCCTCAAAAACTCACGGCTGCTCTTCAGCGTGACTCCTCCATTAGCAAAGACTTTTGATACATCTTCAGGACTTCTGCCTGCACAAGAAAGTCCATTTCCAGGGGCCTCTGGCAGAGTCAGAGTTTAATGTCCTGGGACTCTGACATTTTGGCAAGTGTTTTCTTGACGCGCAGGGCGGTGAGGCGGGAGGCAGGGCTGTGAGCCCAGCACTCCATCATCAGCTTCCCCATCTGCCGCAGGCACTGCGGAGAGAAGGGCAGAGAAAGTCCCACCAGGGTCAGTGGCACAGGAGACTGCACGTGTGGCAATGCTGAAAAACTCAGGGGAAAAGGTCTTTCCTAAGGCCATTACAGATAAACACCACCAGCACTGCCCAGACCAGCCAAACACGGTTCATGTAGATTAATGCAGATTTTTATAAATGTATTTTTGGTAATACACAAGGACTATGTGGTAACAAATTGTCCTTTTATTGCTGGAATGCCTGGGGTGGGATTACCAAGGATGCCAACCAACTAATCAAGAGCAGCTACTGCAATAAACCTTCCCAATCCCTGACACATGTGGTAGCAAACCAAACACTGAGTGCCACCAGACAAAAGCCCTTTTGGGAACTGCTACTCCTTCCTCCAGTGTTTCCAGCCCCAGTCTGAAGGCTCAGAGGGATTTGGCTAGGGAGAGGATGAGGCAGGTGAGATTTGGTTAGATCTTCTCACACTGGCTGTTGCACAAGACCTCGAGCATCCCAGGGAGGTTGTTTTTTTCCCCCACACTCACAACCTCATGCCACCTAAATCTTTCATCTCCCCACAGACTATTCATCTACATGCTGCTATTCCCAAACGGCAGCACCAGTGGTAAATATCATCCTCCCTCAAAATGATGCAGAACTGGGTCAATCTCAGTCCCTAGCTCTGATTAGAAGCACAGACTGCATGCTGAGAGGGATGATAGGCACCTCATCACTGCTCCATCTGTTGGGGAACGAGGGGCGCAGTCTCTTGATGCACACGATCTCCCGCATGTCCTCGTACGAGGGGTCGCTGGGCACCAGGTCGTGGTATGGAAGCTGGTACTCCTCAACTATTCCTGAAAGAAGCAATTAGTTGCCTGTCACTTGCAGGAAAAACAAAACAAAACAAAACAAAACCTTCCTTTTCCCCTTTCATTTTATAACAGATTGGCCGTACTTTGTAACAGTTGGGTGTGCTGCCCCTAAAAAGGACTAGAAGTTTATTCCACAGTCAAATTCCAACGCCACCACTGCTGTGTAAAGACTGGCCAGGTATCTAACCCAAAAGTGCAGTAACGTGCCAAGTGAGAACAGTTTCTATCACTGCTGTCCAGTCCAGCAATCTCCAGTAAGTTCTCACACTAAGAGCCATTAGTGTAGAGTCTGTATCAGAGTAATCTGAGAGAGAATTAACCTTGAGTTAGGTCTCCTTCTTATCAGTGGTCCTGGAAAAACACTAAAGGGCATTTCTGTGCCTTTTCAGAACATGGCAAGGTACCATTCTTTGTGCACAGCAACAATGACAAAAATATTACAGATTTCACCTCACAACATTGCAATACACATCACCAGCTTTTAAACACAGGGATCCTGCTGCTCATTGGCAACATTCAGCTTCTCTACAGTGAGCATTCAGCACACTGAAGGATTTAAAAACCCACAGGGAATGCTGAAGGTGGCAGAGACCAAAGAGAGACATGCTCTACTCTTACCACCAAACTGGCACAGAACTGCTACCAAGTCATTTCTGTGCATTTAACTTTCCCAGTGGCAAAAGAGAGGTAACAACACCCATCACTTCTGCATGACACTGAGCTCTACATGCAGAAAGAGGGAAATGAGGCACATCACTGGTATGACAGTGATGTAACAAGTGCCACTTCCCTCCAGTGTTTTGCTACTTGTCTAGTAAACAGATTATTTATTTCAAAGAGTTTATTTCAAAGATTATTTGTTTTAAACAGCAAACCCCAAATTGTTTGTCCTCCTCCTTTCATTTAACTCTTAATTAAACTAAGAAACCACTACTTTCTTTCTGCTAAATTAGCTGAACACCCCAGTCCAGCACAAACGCGATGCCTTTAGAAAAGGTCCCCAAATGAGTTCCACACTTCTTCCTCAGTGCAGGCATCAGCTGCCTTCAAACGAGCCACTAAAATACAGTCTAAATCTCTGCTGTTGAAATAGCACTGACTGATGCTTCAAAATAAGTTTCAACAGGAAAACAGACATTAGGAGAGTTACCTGTATGGTTTACCCACATCTGTTTATTACTGTAAAAACAATTACCCGGAAAACAAGGCGCAATGGAAGGCCTGAGGTTCACTGACACAATTAAAAGTGATCTCCCAGCTCTTTACCTCCTGAAACACATCTCCTTGCTATCTCCCAAAGGATGAGTCCAAAACTGTACATATCAGCCATGATGTAGGACTGAAAGTGATTTCTATTCAAGCTTTCATCCAGCACCTCGGGAGGCATATAACGTTTTGTTCCTACACGGGTGTTTGGAGGGATGTCTACCTCATTTGTGTCACTAAAAGAAAAAGAAGGAGAAAAAAAGGGCATCAAGAATGCAGTAAAGTGGGTCGAAAATAAAGCAATTTAGACGGGAGAAGTAGTAAATCCACATCACATCCACTCTCAAACAAGGTCAAAAGTAATGCATAATCTTAATGGAACAATTCTTGCAAGAAAAGCCTCTTAGTGTGAAGGCAACCCTCCTTAAAAGGCTGACCCGCCTGAGGCTATGTTAAGCATTCAAATGCAGAACCACAATGGAGATAAGACTCAACAGGGATGCTGTAACATTTTCGAGATTTCATTAGCATTAGCCCAAGCTCTAATGTTAGTGATAACAATCAAATCTTCATTAAACGCTGTTTTCTTAACATACTCCACCACCTAATGCTTCAGTCTCAGCAATTAATGGGGGATACCGAGTAGCTGGGGCAGTATCTTTCAGCTGTAGCAAATTAGATCTGCAAGACAGATGAATCTAACTATTATTTTTTGCATGCATTATGTTTGATCCCTTCCAACCTTTACACATCAAGATATGCAGACACAGAGAGATAAATGCATAAAAACATCTAAGCAAATGTGTCACACCTCACACATTGACCAGAAGAGACGACATACAGGGAAAAATATTCCCATTAATTATGTGAATGGATTCTTGTTTTTCTTATTAACTCAGATTCAGCTACATCCGTTTCAATATATTTAAAAGTTTAATATATGGCAGATACTCTGGTTTGCTTAAAAAGGTCTGTTTTCCTTTATTCACCTTCAAAATGTATGTATTTTAAATATGGTGGATACAACAGATGCTCACAGAATAATTGTATTTCTATAGTTTTCTTCATGTACACCAATTCTTTTCACCTTCTGATATGAAGAAAAGCTGAGTCTGTGGTACAACCAGTCACCTACACATACATATGCTAGTGGCACTACTGTACACCTGCAAGAAAGTAACATAAATCCAGTGACCTGCATTATCTTGTATTATTTCAAATGAAATGGAAACACAAAGAATTTTACTAGAATCATCAGCTTCAGCAGTGCACACCCTTTCCAACTATTTTCTGTTCCTTGCTGTTGCATGAGAAATGCTGTCTGAGGAAGGATTCAGTATGAAAACAAGCCAAGTACATAACATAAATTCCATCTGGAGTGTGAAAAATCCAAATTTCACCTTCTTTTTTAACAGCACTCGGTAATTCCTAGCTCTTCTTTATTCACAGCTAAGCAGTGTGCTGCTCTGTATTTGCCAGGCAAAGTACACCTGCAAAGGGTGAATTTCTTCCCCAAAACTTTTTATTGTATATTTTCAAGTTGTTGTTTTCTAGACCTCTGTTCCTCAAAGTAAAAATATTCCCTTCTTGTCTCCTGAAGAAAGGTCAGGCTCATAAAGGAAATGCCTCACCAAGGAACCCGGCAGGTAAGTGAACAGTAAGAAAAGAACATAAAAACTGCCTTTCCTTTCACTCTGAGTAATTTCAGTTCAAGATTTGTACAGGATTCCTGAATTTTTTTAATACTCCAGGGAGTGCACGGTTTCAAAGCTGACCTGTGAAACGGAAACCTTCAGTCTATGTATTCTGGACACATTTCTGTGTGAAGAAAAATCAGAAACTTCGGAGCACGCGCCTCCACCACCAGGACCACTGCCGAGAGCTCGAGCTGCTTTTGAGCAGAGCTGTCAGAGAGCAGTGGCTCCTCATGAATCCCAGGAGTGAGTAAGTTCTACCTGTCTGCTCTTTCTAAGTTGTTTAAACACACAACCATTTTTTAAAATCAAATTTAAAAGCCATTTCAAAAATCAAATCTGTACTTGGGCAATTTGATTTGTAGGAAATGAAACAAAAGGCAGCCCAAATGGGGTCCTTTTCAATAAATCCTAGTTAGTAACTAGTGCAAATTATTAGTATTTTTCTCTCTAAGTTGAGGAGTGAATTTTCATGGGATCAGACAAGCTGAATGCTTCAGCGACAAGCTCAGTGATGTGACTTCAACCTGTCACTGCTGTGTCCTTTCACTGTGTGCCAGCAATACTGGGGCAGGAATACATGGAGGGTGGAGTGATGAAAACTGACCCTTTATACAAACACAGCTAATGTGCTCAAATATTTAAAAAGCAACTATTTATACACCTGCATGAGGTGCTGATGTGACATTCTCCCCCCCCCCACAGGTAACCTCACACACAGATGAGCAAAGCCCAGGTGTGCACAAACACTGCAGGCGCTTGCTCACTCGTACACACTCAGTCAACAAGTAAGGAAACTTTTGCACCAGATTTATTAACTTCCCCTCACATCCACTCACCTGATAAATTTAACAGCCAAGCCCAAATCTGCTATACAGCAGGTGCCATTCTTTTTCACCAGGATGTTCTTACTCTTTAGGTCACGGTGGGCAATGGCAGGCTTGCCCTGAGTGCTGAAGATCTCAGTGTGCAGGTGGCACAAGCCACTGACAGAGGAGTAAGCCAGTTTCAGCATGGCTTTTGTGTCCAAGGTGGTGGATTTTAGGTAATCATAAAGTGAGCCGTTCTCATGGTAGTCAGTGATAAGATACAGCTGGGTCCAAGATCCTGTACCTTTAATATCTGCAGCAATGAATCCTACAAAAAGAAAAAGAAGAGGTTATTTTCAAGTTAATACTTCTCAGGGGGTTTTTTGGACTGCTCAGAACTCTGAACTGTCATCCATTTCAGCAGGTTTGTTTTAATAACATATTTAATTCTTTTCATCTTACTTCCATGCAGCTGTGCCTCACCTCTAGCCTTTAATGCACTTTCAGAAGCCCAGATACGGATATACCAGTGGCTGAAACAGACATGTTGTGTTTGGAATAACAACCCCTAAACCCCATTATTTTTTTTAACTTTTATTTATGTTTCAATAATCCTTTAAACAACTTTCCTTTGAAGAGCTCTGGGTGGCTAATTGCAGAGCACAGAGGGAAACAAAGCACATCGGAAAGTACATCAGATAACAGCAAATACAAAATTGCTAATCTCAAAAACCTGTTCACCATCAAATAATTCTCTTTCACTTCACTCACCAAGAATATTTTCATGCCTCATCAGGACAGTCTGGTAGATTTCTGTTTCTCTGAACCAGCTGGCCTCCTCTGTAGTAAAGAACACTTTCACTGCTACCTTTTCACCGCGCCACTTTCCCATCCAGACTTCTCCATAGCGACCTTTTCCAATCTGCTTCACCATTTGAATCTGTTTTGCAATGGTCCTTTGAACCTGTGAAATGCCAAGGCAGATCTTATACCTTGCTCAGTGGAAATCTCTGCATTCACCTCCCTCCTCCTGTGCCTGCTTCCCACACAGCCAGCCCAGAAGAGTGTGGAATACGCACCCATTGTGACATGGATTTCAGCAACCCTCCACAACTGCAGATGCTCCCATTTTCTCCAGGACACACTGCTGCTGAGGACATTCCCACCACTAAAAAGAAGCCTTTCCATGCATACTCAAATATACAGTGGTCTACATCAGTCAGTGTAAAGGAAATGTTTGTCCCTGCACCTTGAATTTTTTTAAAATCTTTCTGCAGGAGGTAGTGCTTGGTGGAGTTGTTTTTTGGTCATTTTTGGAAAAGTTTGGACAGAAAACACTCCTGGTCACCTCAATGGCGTCCAAATTCCAAAGGAGTAGGTAACACATTTTCATTAATATAAAAATACAACACTGCTGAGACTCAAGGCTAGGGCTCACAAGAGTCAAAAGCCTATAAGAGCTCCAAACCTAGCAAAATTACAAACTTACCTTTTTTTTTTTTTTTTTTTTTTCAGGATGATCCTTCCTATCACCTTCCTTTAAATTGCCATCCCTAATTATTTCAAAATATATATTTGGTTAGGAACCTCAATCACTATTTACAGAGTTAAAACACATGTGCCTACATTGATTTAAATAATGATATGAAAGTATTCATAAAAAAGCAATTTCCCCCCCAAAATATTTGAAAGAACAGCTTTCTAGTGTCTGTGCCAGCTTTGTCAGTGGCTGTACTGTCAGCTAAAATCATGGGTATTGCAAGATCAATGTCCACAGCAGCACTGCAGAGATTCTCTTCACAAGGATGACAGACTGCCTCTACATTTAACAAGCTTTTACAGCCACAAAAAATCTTGGACAAATGGAGACTTATAATCTCATCAGATTCGAGTATGTCTGCAGATCATGTCTTTCTAAAAGTTCACAAATAAAAATGTGAGTAGATGCTGCAACACAATTCACGGGGTTGACTCTGCCTCAACTTAATATAACAGGAGATTTAAAATGTCACCCTCTTGTGCTACAGCACTGTCAGTTCAACCCACAGCTAATGAGTTTTCGTCTGGTAGGGTTTGGTAAGATTTTGAAGGAATACTGCCACCAATGCAATGAGATTTTCATCTGGCCCAAGCAATTGGCAAAATCTGCACAAGTTCAAATTTGTGGCCTCTTGCTCTTTCTGCCACCATCCAGATACAAACCTCCAGTGTTTTATTGCAGCAAGTGAATCTAACTGCTCTAACTGAATCCCTATGAAATCATGTTCATTTCATGAAATCAAAAATATTTTTGCAATCTTGGCAGACAGAAATGAGTAAAACTTGATTTTCTTAAGTAATTTTCTTCCTTTGTTGCGCTTGGGAGGCCCAGTGGAAACCACCAGTTTGGGAATGCCAGGCAGGACTGCCATGAATGTGCCATGACTGCAGCGTGAATGTGCATCCAAGGACAAACTCAAAACCTATTAGGTCAGGTCTATCATCATTCTTTTTTTAAGTGAACTACTGGTTTTCATATTGAACAATTTTAAGAAGCAAAACATACTGCAGTATTTATGCAAAGCTATTTCAAATATCCCAGTTTTCTTCTTCTGTCATTTAAACAGAATTCCATTTTTCCAGCCCTGCACTGCATTATTAGATGTTCAAGATGGTAGCTTCAGTGCCATTATTTTTGATTAACAACAATGAAAGCCAACAATAGAGATTATCCTTAATTTTTAAAATTGATTTATCTTTTATACTCTCATATAGTGATTGAACAATAGTTATATTACATTGGAATTTTGCTGTAACATTTTGTAATGTCATTTTAGCATTGTTGCTTTCTATTTTTCCCATTTTAAAAATGCATCCTGAACAATAATGTAGTTACATCAAATAACTTAATTTGTGTAAATATATGTAATGGCATCATAAAGTACATGCAATTACAATACTTAATGATGAAAAGTTCCTTATTAAATTACATTAAGAAAATGAAAAACACATTTCTGTTATGGGTTTTCAGGCGGCAGAATACTATGTGAAAGGCCTTAACCTGGTTTTGTCTTGCTAGAACTGGTCAAATGATTTCCTATGAACAATTTTTTTTTTTTAAGGAATTCAGCTCCTTCTTGAATCATAAACCAATTATGATTTCTAAAACAAATAGGTTAATCAAAATTGTTAGCAGAACTGATTTCATAAGATGCTGAATGATGTGCTCGTGTTGAGTTATTTACACTGAGTGGGGCTGGGGGTTTGTCATTTCTTTTTAAATCTCTGTATTTGGCTGCTTGAGCTCTGTAAGCAGTCAGGTAAGGTTACATGACCTTTTCTTTCGTCTCCCTGAGTGGAAACAATCCAATTACCAACTATTTCTACTTTCCTGGCATTCAGCTAAATGTGTTCAGCTACTGCAGATGAAAATTTAGACAGACCAACCTTTTGTAAATTTAATATTTTGAACAGAGAATTCATACCTATGGCTCAGGTGCAGTCCCTTGAAAAGCAAAGTTCATTGGAAGGGAAATTATGAAAAAAAATGTGTGAGAAGGTAGAGACCAAATTGTAGCTCAGCAATCTCTTCAGACAGACCATTTTGCAGCATTTGACTTGCAGCAAACTCCTCTGTCAGAGGTACAGACAGGTCAGGAGAAAGAACACTTGCTGAATGTCACACTGACAAATTCTTGGCTAATACTTGTTTTGGGTATAATATTTGTACCCATTAGAATAAATGTTCCACACAGAAGAAAAAGATTACTGGTTAGCATAAGGTGACATTTTGCATTAAATTTGCATCTTACTTTCCTGAAATTATAACCCTGGATGTTTCAGTCTTTGCACAAGAAACAAGGTTAAAAATAAGCTCTTGCACAATAGAGCAGAGCATTACTGCCAGGCACCTCCTATACGCTTGTTTCAGGCATGGGGCATCACTCTGTGCATTCCTGGTGAGCTCACAGGGGTTGTAGCTGTCTGGGAATGCAGCAAACACCTACTGCCAAGTGCAAGACCCATTTTCTTCTCTTCCACCCAAAATCACTACTTATAAAAGCAACTGCATGGGGTTTTTGTAAGCAAGGGGGAGATGGGGAGGAAGAGTTCCTGGAGGAAAATCACTTGGTCCAGTGGCTGCAGAGTCTCCAAGGTTGAGAGGAGTGGCCTGCCAGAAGGCTGGAGGGTTTCTGCCTCATGGGGCAGAGGCACAGCTCTGGGAGCTGCTGAGCAATCCCAGCTGGGATGGCACCTCAGCCATGACTGCAGCTCAGCAGCAGGAATTCCTTTTCCCATCCACTACAAGGGCAGACCTGGGAGCAGCACTGAGACCACAGATCCCTCCTTCAAACTGCTCACTGGGACAGAGGAAGGCATAAAGAACAAGCAGTCATAACCAGCACTGCTCCAGCTTTTTTGGGATCCTGGGATGAAGGACTGAGCCATACACTGCTGTGAGGTTCCCAGGGCACCCACATGGGCTGCTGGAAACACATCCTCTCAGAGAAGTACAACCAAGTTCTTTGTATTTGCTCTAAATTATTACATTTTTTATGTCATTGGAACAAGTGAAGATGAAGACCTTGATGAGGCAGGTGCAAAAAAAAAAAAAAAAACCCACCAAAAAACAAAACAACAAAACAACCAAACCCCAAAGCATAAAAGGAAGAATCCTTCACAATTAAATCAGCTGGAAACTCATTAGGAATGGTCCTAAACTGCACACAAGATCTCTCCCTTTCCATTGGCCAGAAAATCTCAAATTAGTGAACCAAAACCACTACAGGGTGCTAGAAAGACATCGGCATGGGATAGGACAGAGCTTGTTGCTTCATTTTTAAGGAAATATAAAACTTCCCATTGAATGTCTTCTTTAGGGTGTTTAAAAAATAGGTGTGGGCAAAAACAGCCAGACAGTACATGGTACTTGGAAGCTGGACAACACCTGCAGTAGTAGCATCAATACAAACTAATAGGTTTGGAAGACAGGAGGGACATACCCACTCTGAAAAATGAAAATGAAATCTTCCAGTTTCTCAGAGGCACTTATTTTAAATAAGCAACCTAGCTTTTTTACCAATTCTTTTCTACCAGTGATGTTCCCCGGAAGCAAAACCCCCTGGTGAACAGGACTATATTGCTACAGATCGTTCTGCCTTTTCAGCAGGTTTAACAATCCTGGAGTCTGTTCAGAAACAATCACAAACTCCATCCCATTAACTTTTGAGATTGCCATACTACGAGGAAAAAAATCCCCCTTGACTTCTGAATGCAAAGTGAAGCCTACAAATAAAAAGGTTCCAAGTCTGACAATTTACAGTTCCCTTTAGAAAAAGGTGATGGGGCAGTGTTTGAAATCCTGCTGTGTGTTGCACATACAAAGGAAGAAAACAACATCAGTGGGCCAGGTGCTGTCCTGTACACTGGAGTGTAAAAAAACCAAACATACTTCCATGAGCTGTCTTAGCCTGTACTTACCCTATGGTATCTAAAATAAGAAATTAAATGAGGCAGAAAAATAACCCTAACCTTTTTTGGCTTAGTTCACATGACTTAGTCCCCTGCTTCTAAAGCAGCTGCTCTCCAGTCTAACTCCTTGTCATTTCTGGCAGAGGAAAAAAAAACCCAAAAAAACCCCAAACCCCCCCCCCAAAAAAAACCTAAAACAAAACTGAGGAAACGTAAATCTATTTTTTGTGCCTCTTCTCCCTCTACACATTTTAGCCTTTGAAATGTGCACTAAAATAGCATCGCTTCCTTACCAGGAGAGGGAGCCCGGATCCGCTGCCTGAGCTCTGGGACTGCTCGATCAAATCCTTCAGGGACTCTCCGGGGGGAATGTAGGTCTCGTCCTGCTCCAGCCCGATGCTGTAGTGGGGTCTCGTCTCCTGGCGCTTGTATCTGAGGTTTTACACGAAAACAAAATGAGTTCTGAATACAATGAGCACATGTGCAATGAATAATGCACATGCCCTTCACATTTCCTTCATTTATAGACTAACAGATTTCTCTACTTCTCTGGGGAATACACTGGACTCGCTGGCCAAAATTTTTCATTTTATTTTTAGCAACTGTTTACATCATCAAAATTCTAAGTATAACACTCACAGGCCATGCAGTCTGGGGTAAATCTGCAAAGCAACCAAATGTGTTCCTTTCAGAAACTTAAATATGTTTACAACACTGACCAAGTCAGTAACTTTATTTTACTGTCTGCAGTGCACTTCTAGGAGCCAGAGGAGGTAAGGTCATGGAATCTGGGAATATGTAAAAAATTTGGAATATGTCAAATTATTAAAATGTAATGTATGTAGATTATGATACCACTCTAGATATATTTACTGACATTCCTGTATTGTCTTTTTTTTTATGATCAGCTCTTCATCACATAAACAAATTTAGAAGTCTTAGATATATTTCCCTTTCACAAATTTCTCTACAAAATTTGTTCTTTGGCCTTCTCACTAAAGAATATTCTGTTCTTCAACCTGAATTTAAGGATGTTGAGTGAAAGATTCTGTATGAAATCCATCACACAGGTACCCCTGTGAATAGCATCAATAAAATACACATTTTTTTCTCATGATAAAATTACAGTTTCTTATTTCTTTCCTCTAAGGTCCGCTTCTATTTTTTTTTTTTTTCAATTTCCTAAATCTATAAAAAGATAAATGTTGGGAGGAACATTAACAAGCTGCCAAAATATTCCTTATTTACCTGAAGTAGCAGAATATGATGATAAGCACCAGAAGGATGCTGCAAACAGTCACTGAGATCAGCAGGGCCTTGTGGTGAATGTTTCCTTCAGCAAAGTCTGGGGTTAAAAATGAGAAAGTTGGAAAATTTAGAAAGGGAGATGGTATGAAGTCAATGTGAGAAGTGCATTGAACACAGGATGATTTCCACTCTTTCCTTGTAATTCCTGTACAAGATACTCCTGGATTTTGTGGGCTTCCTCTTTGACCCTCACTGACCAGGACAGAACTGACACTTCCAGCACCAAAAATCCCTATTTGTTTTCTCAGTCTTCACTCAGGCAAAACATTGCCTTGATTTGCAATTCCCTGTTTGTCTCTGAATGGAAAATCAATCAAGACCTGTAGCTCTGGGTCTAACCTGAGTGATTAGCCAGGAAATGCAAAAACCACTGCCTTTTTTAAGCACTCAGATTAAGTAGTATCCTAATGAGTAACTAAGAAAACCAAACCAAACCAAACCACCCACCAAACTGCATTTATTCCAGAAGGGAAGACACAGCAGACCATTCAACCGCCAGCAAGGCAGGCCATGAGAGGCCTTGAAAGCATAGTATTTCCATCCTTACAGAACAATTTGTCTCTTAGATCCTGTTTTAAACATTTGAGCAAGAATTTTCTTCTCCATCTGCTCTAGAGCAGCCCTGTGTGCCAGCAAGTCCTTCCTATGCTGGTGGGCAAAACTATCCTTCCAGTGGCTTCTCTGCAAAACACTTTGAAAAGAAAATGTGTCAAGTGACTTGTAGAAAATGCTGTTGCATAAAAACTATTAAAATGTTTCAGTCAACCTTTGTATAGCAGACTCATATTCTCCTTTAAAGTATAACATTAATCTCCAAATTTGAATTCTCAGCTCAGGCAAGCGAGTCTGACCTTCATGCATGCGTCTGCTGAAAAACAAAGACATCCAGCTCTATTCTTTTTTAACCTCCCCTGCCACTCAAACTCTCAAAATTATAGTATTTCAGCCTGTACATACACAAACCACCCTTCCAACAACAAATGGGATGATGCAAATGAGGGCTATGTTTTCTGAAGCTCTTCCAGCCTTGCTGTCTTGCATCCTTCACTCCAAAGCCTGACACATCGGAGAATGCAAGAAATCCATCCTTATTGACTGCTCCTGGAACGACGCTATTATGCTTCAGATTTACAAGAGTAATGAGACAAGGAGATTCCTAAGGGACTCTTAGTTTACTCTCGGACTCTCTTATTTTCAAGACACAGTTTCTCTTTCTTTTTTTTTTTTTTCCCCCAAACAATTTCTTTCCTTCCCCTTCCCACTACAAACAGAGATTACCTACCAGCACACCTCCTGATCACACTGGTCATGTTTTAACCTGCCATTGCCTGCTCCAGGAGCACTGACAATGTAAACACTCAGGACATGGCTGATGCCTTTGAAAGGGGACACTGACACGATGTCTATCAGGAGAACCCTCGAGCCCATCCTTCTGCCTGCCACAGCAGATTTATCCCTGGCCTGCCACTCCAAGCGGGCTGTGGGTCGAAACCGAGAGCCCACCGGGGAATCAGAGCTCTCGTGAAGGCGATGGCAGCTCGGGAGGGCTGAGGGCTCTGGTTTGTGCTGTGTGAGCAGCCTGTGTCAGCACCACCTCCCTCTGAAATGTGTGGGTTGTCACAGTTTCAGATGTCACAGCCCATCAGATGAATAAGCAGAGCACAGAGACCCCATAAAGCGGCATTCCATGCCTGGGAGAAACCCGGATAACCACCCACAGCCAGGGCTCTCCCACTTCACAGAATATGACAGGATGGAAGCTGAGCTTCTGTGCTTAGCAGTAATGAAAGCTGATGTCAGCTTTCACAGAGGGAAAAATTCAGATCTTAGACTTGTGTCTGCTAGATGTTAAGGCCATGGAAATCTGTGCAATTTGCAGACACGGTATTGCCCGTGAAGTTGTTCACACTGTCTGGGTGTGTACGAGAATGCACATTTGGAGAGGGATGACAAACATGCTGCAATCTTGAATCAAATTCCCACAATTTTTAGGGTATAAGTGATCCAAACCTTATGCTCAATGTTTCTAATGGGCTTCTGCCATTCAGAAAAGTAAGTAAATGCAGGTTGCTTTTCCCAGAGGCCAGAAGGCATTTTGGAAGGGCTGTGCAACTCTCAGATGAACTTCAGGCCCTGACACTGCAAAATTCTTTGGGTACCCAAAAGCAATTATGTGAAGCAAGTGTGAGGAAAGCATGAAAGACACAAAGGAACGTGTCCTGATGTCCTTGCTGGGAGCAGGAAACAAGACTTTGAGCAGATGCAGAGCTGACCCTCTTGTGGTGGGTGGTGTCGGCATGCCAGCAGTGGCACAGCTTTAGCAGTGGTTCACTGTGCACAGCACAGGCGTGCAACTGGCTCCTACAGGAGGGGACAGTCAATTCCTCATGCCTTTGTATTTATTTGGCTATTTGAGAGGCAATATTGATGACAAGTGAGCTACTGTCCCACCTTTCAAACACTTCCTGCATTTTTAAAGCATTTGGGCAGGATTTCATTTGCTGCCTAACTTGAGGACTTCATAAACCTGCTGGTGTGTGTGTGTGGACAGCAGAAGATTAAATGCAAGCCCCCATCCTCACACCAGCAATGTCTGTTTGTTCTGCTGCACTGAGCCAGGCTGCATTTCTTCTCCTGCTCCTCCAGCCCAGGCTGTTCCCACAGGGCAGCAGGACAAACCTCCCTTTCCCCGCACTGTCTGACCAGGAGGAGTGATGGGGCAGCTCAGCTGTGCGTCCGCCTAGGGATTCGCTTGTGGGCTCTGTGGTGAACACCGTGGTGGGTCCTGGACAGTGCAGTTGTGATGGAGGTACTGTGTCCTTTAAGAAGTCCAGTGCTGTGTTTTTCACTGCTGCATCACTTGGAACTGCCAGGTGCCAAGCAGCAGGGTTAGGAGAATGAGCAGCAGCTTCCATGGAGGCAGCAGTGAGCGATTACCGGGAGCACGGTGTGGGAAGTGCAAAACAAACACACTGCAGGTTTGGGAAGCTTCTTCACATACCCTGGCTGGCTGATAACAGTGCAGCCCAGCAAAGAGCACATTAACAGCTCCATATTGTAGGAAAACAGTGGTGCAGGCTGGTGACAGCAGGGAGCTCAGTGGGACCAAGCTGCCTCTCTGTTTTTCTCCTGCAATTTCCCCCTCCTCCACCACTCGTTTCACTCACTGTCCTCAGCGGGGCCATGCTGAGGAGTGCATTGAAAATGCCACCCAGAAGGTTCAGAAGTCAGCATATCAAAGGGAGAGGAGGTTCTCCTCCCACCCCAGGTCCCTCCAGCTCAGAATGTTACAGCTATCCAAGTAAAAACGGCAGTGAAATCCGAGGCGTGGAGACTGTATGCACACATCAAACCCCATCATTCCTCCAATCATTCCCTTGCCCATTCATCACTGGCTATACAGGCAGGGAGCCAGACACGGTGGCACCACCACTTCTGCTTATGTAGGCTCTAAATCAGTAAAGACATATTTCTCCTTTTGACTGCTCTCAGCCTGTGCTTTCACCGGGATTTCCAGGAATATCTTTTATTGTTTAAAGCAGAGGTGTTATATCAGACCCAATTATGACTTTCATTTCCTTAATAAGACAGATGTATAGCTGGCACAAGGGTTTAATGGTTTCTCTGGGACATTTTATCCTGCTAGTTCTGTAGCAAGATGAGCTCAAAACTTAGACTTGGCTGTTGTTTCTTCCATCTTACTTAACAAGTCTTGCTTTGACCGGTGTTAATTTTTCTAGCTCTCACTTTCATGTATGTGGTCCTCCTTTCTTTCCAGGGGGGAGAGGAGAAGGATAGGATGTGGCATAAATGTTGCCTTGCAGCACATGCCAGGCCTGGAAAAGCACTTAGAGAGCACAAGTCCCTTGCCTTTGCAGCTCTTACCTTGGTGCACAGGTCAGTTTTGAGTTCAATAGCCCCTGACCTGCAGCTGCATGCTCCCCCTAGACTTTGCTTCCCATGAGGCATCACCTCAGATGTGAGCTCATCAGAAGCCAAATTTCTGTTTGTTTTTTAGATGCTAAGGAGCATGTGTATCTTTGATGGAACCCTGAAGGCCAGGAGGTTATTCCAAGAAACTTGTTTTAAGTTCACCTCTCTTTCCCTGTACTTACAGTTCATGTTAAATTTGATATACAATTCTAACATTACTCAGACAATCACAGCCTAATCTAAATGCTTCCAGAAGAAACAATGATCACAGCCACAGCACTGGGCGCTGGCAGTAGCATGTATATGTATACAGTATTTGTACCTATTTGCAGAGAGGGCCTGTGGTTCAAACTATGGCTTTTTTTTTTTTTTTGCTGTTTCAAACTATGGCTCTTTTATCCTGAGGTTTCATACTAGGATACAGCAGCAACAAATTAAAACAGGCCTGGCACTGACAATGACATATTAACCTAAGGCTTTAATAAAGGTGGTGACTTCAGCCCTGTTCAGCCACATTTATTCAAGCAGTTCCTGAAATCCATTTCTACAAAACACTGTCAGGACGCTTGTAGTGTGAGACCTTATATAAAAAAAATAAAAATATTTTGAGTGTGTTGAGTGACTACATCACCTTTTGTCTGCCATGCTAAAGTAGTCAACTTTGCAACACAGAACAGCTAGAACCCTGTTTCAGCTCGCTGAAATTTTTCTTTTAAAAAATATTCTCTCTGCCAGCATGGTTCCCCAGTGATACTTTATTTATCCTACATACACACAGGACAAACCCAACCTCAATCCAAACACCTTTTGCCACTACCAAAAGCTTGGTCCATTGCTTTCTTTGTAAGTAGCAGACAGCATTGCCAAATAACTAAAATCTTTATAGATGGATGTCTAGTGTTAGGCTCTAATTCAGTATTTTTGAGTAGTCCTAATGTAGCATAAACTCAGCCAGTAGCAAGAACAAATCATGGCAGTGTTTTCCAAACTGATATTTAATGAAAGACTAAGTAAGTGTGAACAAATATTGACTACTTTTTGGAGCTCTTCTCTCAATCCAAAGAACTTTTTAAAATTAAATAAACCAACAAAGTAGTACATAACTCTTCTGCTGGAAGTCAGAATTTTATGAGGTTTCGCTGCCTTAATGCCTTGCTAGTAAACAGTGAAGTATTTACATACTACTCTCCAAAGGCCTGACTCTGCAGCCCATCTGTGCAGAATTTCACAGGCCTGAAGGGAACAGCTTACATGAGTGAAGGCTCTCTCTGAGCATGCATTCGTGTAAGTATCTGCTGCTGGTGGAATTAGGAGTGCATCTGTGCACCAGTCTGGATCTTCAACACAGAACACCACGATTATAAATTCTTCTGCAAGCCTGAACTGATTCAATGCTGACTGCCACAATTCCTGCCGATGCCAAGAGTTTATTATGGACGAATTTACACTTAGGAATATACTTCTATAAAATTTATTCTGAACGCCCAGACAAAAATAGTTTTACTAGCTTTCAGAAAGTGATGTTTAAACAAACAATAATGCTAAAACCTTGCCTCAGCATCTACTAAGTTAATACATGCCCATTTGCTATCGAAAAATTTTTTTTAAAAACCTGGGTGAGTTCTTACTCTACTTTCTTTTTTCAGCTACACTATTCACATAAAAATACACTTTAGTGAGTCATTATTGTCTCAGTGCTGGGTGATCAGGTCCTGCAAATAAGAAACACTTACAGACTTGTGTCAACCTGAACTGACCAATTTGTGCGTGGAGTTATGAATGAGAGCAATGCATGTTACAGGAACTGGAGAGAGGATTCCATTTTAGTATCAGGCTAAAGAAATACACAGCAAGAGTCATCCTCTGACACGACCAGCCTTGGTCCTTGAAATGATCTCTGATAGCTCACAGGTCTGTGTTAGGACAGCATCATGCAACTCTAATGCATCTTGTGTTCACTGCATGTGTGCAGCAGAAACACACAAGCATCAGCACCACTCCACACACAACCTACAGGAATGGAGATATACTGATTAATGCCAATCTTCTCTCTAATCACACGCTTTTGGATAGGGGTGCCTCAGTCTGTGCTCTATTTTTTCCCTAAGGCACAGGGACCAACAGCAGGAAAAGATCGGCTTAGGACCGGATTTTGTTCCCTTACCTCGATTCTTCAGAGGTGGCAGTGTAGGGTGAAGGTGTCTGTTACAGTAATCTTGGCCTGTGCAACATTCAATAGATCTTCTTTGGTGTGGAATAGGAGTGTCCTGCAACAAGCAATTTAGATGGAAAGCAAGTCATTACCTGTGTTGTAAATACACACAGTCATTCTGGCACTTGAAAGATGTGCTTGCTAGCTGGACTGCAATCTGCTTCAGATTCCTAGGATGTGTGGAGCAAGGATTTCTGCCAACCAGCGTATCCAGCAATATTTCATCCAGGCAATTAAAATGTTAATTCACTCTAAACTTACTCCTGTTGGTGCCTTAATGCTGCAGAAGGGACTGACTTTCTCTAATGGTGCCAGTCAGAAGTGTGAAAGTCACATACATCTATCAATTAGACCAAAAATGAGTTAATAGGGTATCCAAAACAGGTGAGCCAGGATAATACAGGAATTGCTGCATGGACTAATTTAGCTGCAGCTTCTGGTATCTTGGGAAGCTGGATAAAATATCTCCCATTAGCCATAAGGATGTAACTATTCCTGTACTCATCTAAAACCATTTAAGGTTAATGTAAGGAAAAGCAACCACCTCAGAACCAACTTGCTCCATTTTCCACACCCCTTCCATTCCTGCAGTGATACTTGTTTTCTGTCAGGTGATAACTGTACTTGTAGGGAATATCTGGCATCAAAAATCCCAAACCAACGTGCAGCTGCATGTAAGACATAGATGTTGCTGCAGTTCATCAAATAATATCCTAACTAACTTCAGCCAGGAAAAACACCCAGAGAGATCCAGCATGAAAATTTGAGGAGTTAAGACTGCAATTCTCTAAATCCAAACTTCATCTCAGTGGGAATGTTACTAGTAGCAGCAGTGCCAAAACCAAAAACATGAGGAGTTATTATTAGGAGGATCCATAGTATCATCTTTTGAGGATACAAATGCACCCCCCTCAGTAATCAATGCAGATCAGCTATCTGCCAAAGGAACAGAAGTAGAAAACATGGACACAGTAATATCTGTTGACTGCACTTTAATTGGAAACTATCAAAAATTCAAGTGACACTGTGGCAGAAAATGCTTCCTCACCCGACACTGGAAGTCTGAGCCCTCTAATCCAAGGCATCCCTTGGTGACTAAATGTCCACCGGACTCATCCTCTTCTATTATGGTGAAGCAGTAGCCATCAGTGCTGTGGATTGGAAAGAATGAATCAGGAAAAGGCACTGAAATATGAAAAGTGGAAGATGTGCTGTTGAATATTGTCTTGAACTTTGCTCCTTGCCAGGCAAATCGGCCATTCACAAATGGACTCACCGGGGCTGCTGTGGAGCAGCTCCTGTACACACAAAGGAGGCTGTGCCTCAGGGCTGTGCACTTACCTTTGCAACATTTCACAGCCTAAACCCCACTAACAAGCCCCCCAGCTCTCTGCCTGTGGTCATTAGTGTGTTAAGACTTTGGAAACATACACAGTGCAAGCTTCATTGCTACACAGCCTCTGCTTTGAGTGCAGAACAGGGCACCGACACCTGCACCACGGTACAGACCTGAAGAAGGAAACACTTCTGAGATGCTAAACGTAAAATATTACCAAGAGTGATTTGTGATTCCTGTTTTAACCATATTATGAACTGCAACACTCCTGTGTATGAGTCCTTGAGTTATCATCAACACCCTTCATAGATGTTTACTTGTGTTATAAGCCTGAAGTGATCCATAATGCTTCCGTTTACAGGAACGTGCACCAGGGAGGACAAGTATACCGACAGATGGCTCGATGGGGCTGGTGATAAATGTCCTTCCTTGATGAAGGTCAAATGCCTGAATGCTATGGAAAAAGGGAGTGGAGGGCATGGAAAGGGTGGCTGCATTTTATTGAGACTGCTGTACCTTAAGTTCTCAGCACTCTGATGGGGATACGTAACGCGTAAGAAACAAAAACTGATGGACTTGAAGGCAGAAGATCCAAAAATAAAGAAAAAACTCTTTAATATAAGACATTTAAGTCACAGAAAAATAAAATATTCTGTTATTTGCTCAGGAAAATAACACTGGCTATTATGTACAATCAGTATTTTTCAGAAGGGAAGAAATAAACTCAGTTAAAACAAGGAAATAAAAAGAAAAAAAGATTAGAAAACTTAAATACAGCAAAATTTCAGATGATTTGCTCCTCACTTGAATGAAACAAGAGTCTAAAGAGCACCAGCAGCAAAGGCAATGAAGATGTAGGAAACAAGAGCCACAGTTACACATTTAAGAGATAAACATAATTTGTAAGTATTAGGTACACTACCGAGAGATGCTGCACAGGATCACGTCAAACATTTTCTGTGGCATGTTTTTATATTAGTGGGGCAGGGTCTAGCCACAGTAAGCTTATTACTTCAAATAATAATATATCATGACTTCTGGATCTGAAAAGTAACCAATTGCACATTAGAAATTACTTTCTCAGGGAAGCCAGCAGTGACTTCTATCCTTCTTTACACTGTACATAGGAGTGAGGCAAAGAAGACAGCAATCCTTCTGGGCAACAACCACCCTGATGTCATTGCTTGAGCTGAATAGATAGGAACAAGAGGATTGCCAAGAGAGACTGTAAGGAATCCATTAGAGAAGAATATTAGATTAGATTAGATTTTATTTGTTTGCATGGTGCCTTTGATTCAAAATAATGAGTAAGTTTAACCCAGGGGACAGAGCAACAAAACAATAAATTGCTATCAAGTGAAACACAAAAATGGACTCTACAGCCAACAGCAAAAAACTCTAAACTCTTGGTTCATCAAAGAAAAGCAGGGGAAGGAAAAGTCAAATTGTTTGCAAAAGGGAGAAAAAGAAACAGAAAGTCTGCCATTTCAGTTCTATTTTTCTCACTTGTCCTAAGGGACTCTGATTCTTAGCTCATTTATGAAAATTGAAGTCAAGCTCCTCATGCACTTTAGTCCCTTGAAAAATTTTACTCCAAATTTAAAAAGAAAAATTTTGATTGGGTAGAGCAAAACAAAGAAGTTATAAAGCTCTAACAATAAGTGTAAACCATACTCTTTACAGATGTTAGAATAATGAAGGAGAAGTGAGAGAAAAAATAGCATTACTGAGCAGAATAAACACTGCTTGCTTCTACCTCTAAGAAAAAAAAAATAAAACCAAACAACAAAAAGCTTTCATGCTATGTAAGAACTCATTAGCTTTTTGAGAATTTCTGAGGTGCTGGGGTGAGAGGGAGAAGGAACCCTTCTGAAAAGAAAAAAGGATCTACCTGCTTCCCCCCTCACCCCAACCTGTTCTCCTGGTTCACAGGATGTCAAACGGACCACACAGTGCAAGAAAAAGGGCAGGGCACACCCCTGCTGTTTTATTGATTTCCCCACCTCACACCTGACTAGGGTAGAAATGAAACTTACTAATACAGCCAGTAAGAAACAAATCAGAGATGTGTGCACAGTCTCAAATTTTATACTTTGGTGACTACAGAGAAAGAAGCATCTGTACATCACTGACACTTGCAAAGCAGTATGAAAAACCTATTCTCCACTTCCTAGAAAAAAACTGTAGTATAGACCTGCTATTTTCTTAAAATCTGCAATGTGAATTCTAATTTTGCGTAATTTGATTCCAAAAATGGTGTGTAAAGAAGGAATTCAGTGTGGATACAACTGGATACATCTGGGTACACATCCACTAACCTCCACTGAAGCACCATCATAAGAGTACGGTGCAGGGGAGTGATTCAATTCACTTTGGATGAGATCACTAATAGAGATTTGCTGTGTCACATATTTGCCAAGAGTGAATTCTTACAGCCAAGTCAAATACCAGGAGAATGAAGGGAGTTAATAGTGAAACACTGACAGTGATATAGAAGGTGCTGCTCCAATTACAGATTACCACAAAGAAAGCAGGGATCTTAACTCAGACCTTTCCTAAATGTCACAAGAGAGGAACCAAGGCCAACAGCTTTGCAACTTCTCACACAGATGTCCCCACTGGCCAGCAGCCATTTCTCACAGAAGCTGTGATTCCTCAGCTTCCAAAACCTGCCTGCTGGAGATTTCCCACCCGGCTCTGTGAGTGACACAGCCAGGGATGGCAGTACACAACTTGGAAAAGCAACATCTTTCCCTCATTCAATGCCTATCACAAAGAGACAGGTAGCTTTCATAATTTGATGAACAGATCTCTTATCTTTAATTTGATTTCAAATGAGTCCATACAAGTATTATTACTTTTTTCCACTCCTCCTCTTCATATTCCTCATTTTGATACAAGAGCATTTTTTCACTTCCATCCAAAGCAACATGAAAAGTCTCTGCACTCTTTTTAAAATTATTACAAAATTTCCCGTATAAAGGAGGAAATTTCAAAATAAACATAAACATTGAAAAATTGAAAGGCTAACATTTAAGATCTCACCTTTCCTTTATCAGAAAATGTTCCCTAAAAATTAAAGTTGATTAAAACAAAAGTTGTCTGAGCTCGGTGCTTTGGCCAATGTCAAAGTCTTTTTTTTCCCACCTACCAAATTACAAAGAAAATTCAAGCATATCATCTGGAGAACAGGACAATGAAAATAACATCACTCAAGTGAATTATCAGCTTTGGTACCACTGAAATAGCAACTTAATTATTTAATTGCTTTAGATAACCAAAGACACAGTTGGGCAGAAATACAATCTAGTAGGCAACATACAGGAACTTAAACTTTATCAGCCCAATCTTTAAAACTGTCAGCATTTATTTGTGCATGAAAATAGAGTGCGACAAGGCACCTAATTAGCCTCTGCCTTTACTGCAATCCCATTACAGTCAAAGCCAATTAATCGTAACATCGTGCTTTAAAACGTGCAATTAATTATGATCAGACACAACTGTCCGTGCATTCACTCTGAACACAGAAAACTTGAAATGGAACAGCAAAACAAGGTCCTGGTTGTGTTCAAAGCAGCTTTGACCTTCTTTACTGAAAGCCTTTTATGAATTGCACAGATGTTCAGAAAGAAGAATGAAGTTTCAACATGCAGCAGTTTAACACACCCTTTGCAAGCAGAGGACTGTGAGCCTTCTCCAAAGGTTTCATCTGTCAGGGGCTTGACTGCACTAATATTTTTCAACTGCTCACAGTGGCCCCACTTGTGACTCCTCTTTCCCCCTACCCAGGAGCCCTGAGCAGAGGTACAAGAGAGCCTGTCTCCACCATGGGAAGAGCTGGGCTATTGAAGGAGCTGTCACTGCCTGTTGTGTTCACATATCCACAGGGAAATGGGGTCCTGGTGAGTGAGGATATCAGCCTCAGCTCCTGCCTTGGTCCCCTTTTGCTACACTTTGGCATTAACCTTCCCTTGATGAGCTCACCCTGCAACGGGTCTGCCAAAACTTCACTGTGCTCAGGGACTGCCCCATTTTTTAAAGCACACTCAAACTAGAGCTATGGCTTTCTGCTTAGACAGAAAAGCATTCTGCCTTTTAGGCTGCAGTGTTATCCTTCGCTCTCCAAAGTATTGTTGGACTTAAACTGCAGAAGTATAAAGAAAGGGAAATTCTGTATAGGAACACAGCAGGCTGTTGGAGGATTTGATATAGATGTGGTTAAAGAATACTGGCTTTTAAATTTCTGCAAATACAATTATGGAGAAGATTTTAAATGGCCACCAGATGTCCTCATTATTATATAAACATTCAGACCCCTGGTACTATGAGCCAGATATATACTTTAAAGACAAATACCTGTGGTAGCAGATAGAAATCTTCATGTGAGATGAGAGACTGTTTTTTAGCAGAAAATTTTAATGGTGATTGCAATAAGAATAGCTATTCTATTCTGAGAGTTTTAATTTAAACACAGCTGGAAATGCTTTTGCATTGAACTTTCAGAGGTTCTGTCTCCTGGGCTCATAAAATGCTTCACTGCTTTAGTAAGAACCCTGGTAAGGACAGTGGCTGATGGTCTCCTGAGCTCAAACCCTGGCTGTGGATGTACTCAGTGAATTTCCTGGGTGTCAGAGCTTTGCCAGGCCTTTGGGTGCTCCAGAACACACTGGCTCATTCCTGTTGGGCTGGCAGGTCCAAACTCTAAAGGTCCAAGCACAGCCCAAAGCTTAACAGATTGATAGAGCTGAAAAGAGCTTTGATCTTAAAATGTTTCTTAAAAAATTTAAAATGCTTTTAGTGGCTACATCTGTGGCAAGCAGATAATTAATGCAATAACTTTTAATCTGAAGCATTTAATTTATTCTTCAGACAAACACTGCAATTGACACTTCTTGAACTTCCAAATGGGGAAGCTTCCTTTATAGTGATGCTCAGTGATTCCCCGAGTGCTTTAAAATTGTGCCAACAGTCATTCACACAGGATGAAATACAAAAGTTACCGTCTGACTCGTAGGATGATTCCAAAACTCAGGGGAAATTTATAATCCCTGTTAACCTGGTTGGTTGTGCTCAAATCTTTTGAAATTTTGTCTCTATGCAGCCAACAAAGCAGATACCTAATAACCAGCTAACCAGACACCTAATAACCTCTCTTTCCCAAGAGAAGGCTCAGGATCTTGTTTTCTCTGTAATCCATAATTCCAGCTATGTAGCAGGGAATTTAAAAAAGGAGTTATTACACTAACAGTTAAATAGATGCAGGAAAACAAGGGGTGTTGAGTCCCTCACACCTCACTGCAGCTCTCACACCAAGGCAGTGGGAGCCACAGCAATGATCACTATCATGAACATGATTGCTGCTGACAAGCCATGAAGGCAGTGCATTTAAATTAATTTAATTTGTTTTACATTACTCCAAACTCCTCAGCAATTTTTCACTTACGCTGTTGCTCACTGGGCAAGTGGCAAGGTGGGTACTGCTCAGGTGACAGCACAGGGCACGAGAGAGGAGCTGATCTAAAGCAAGTCTCCTGACTGTTCCAGGAACTCCTGACTGGACAGAAAAGTGATAAATATTTGACGGATAAATTCCAGCTTCAATTATTATTTTGATGCCCAAATGGGAAAAAATCATTCTGGCAATAAAGCAGAACATTCAAGTCTGAAGTCTTCAAGGATTGTGAAGACAAAAGGGATTACAAATTTGTGTTTTATTACCACTTAACTGCCTATCCTTGGCATCAACACCTAAAAAAAGTTTGACATTTGACACCATAAAGGAGACTGAAGAGAGTTTCTTTAAAGTATTGCAGTGAGGGAAAATGCACAAATCCATTCTAACAGGACATTCACTCATAGTTCCATAAAAAATACTTAATGCCAATGATGCCTACAAAGCAACGTGTAAAAGCAGGTTATCCCCCAGCTGGGGGATAAACCTTGTTCAGTCAGTTCCTAACATTGATCTCTTTGTGCTTCCTAATTCAAGGATTTAAAAGTGACCTGCAAATTCCCTGTTGCTGCATGTGTGAGACAGCACATGGGAAAGATGTGGCTCTTGCTGGGCAGGAACAGGAAACAGCTGGTTGGCGCTGCAGGGGATCAGCAAATTGGCATCAGAGTGGGGTTTTACAGCTTTTTAAACTGACTGTCATGTGAGAGCTAACTCCTGGCTGGAACATGGGCTTGTAGGAAGAGGTTAGAAAGGGGGAATGGTATTTACAGCTGTCATCAAAACTTTGATACATTTTAGTAGGAAACCGCAGGCTGAGAAGAATAAAGTCAGGCTGCAAACCCACGCTCAAAAATCCAACAAAGCAATCAGTGCCTTCAGCAACCTTAGGCTTTCCCCATTTCTCTTTTAGACACACTGCCTTGAAGAGCTGAGACATCAGACAATCTCACCTCAAAGAGCACTGCATCTCCAGTTGGGCTCACATCTGTGCCCTGCTTCTATGTCTCCCTGACTCCCACAGCTCCACCAGGCTGAGTTGGTGTCTCCAGTATCACACCTGCTCCTAGCCAAGCAGAGAAGTTCAAATCCCTCATATGGAACATGAGGAGCTCAGCCCAACTCTGCTGCAGCTAAAGCAAACTGTACCTGTACCTCAAGCCAAGACAGAGGTTCATTCAACCCTCACTCAACAGCAATTGTATGTGTCCAGCAAGAGCTGCTTTTGGGTAGGGGAACAGCAGCTTGGTCCCCCCCACAGGTCCCCTCAGTCACCTCTGCTTGCTTCAGCCAGGGCCAGGGCAACACAGACCAGTGCTGAGCCTTCAAGGACATTGTGCACATCTGGACCTGCCTCTCCCCCAGGGAGCCAAAAGGTCCTGAGGAAGCAGAATTCAACCCAGATGAGAAATATGTACTACTCTAAGCCCAAAATTAAACAGAAGCCTACAGCTCAGAGACAAAAATACTCAACACTTCACCTCAAGATAGTTTTCTTTTTAGCATAAAAACAAAAAAAAAATAACGAAACCCAAACCCCAAAGCCTTAAGGACCTACAGATACAGCTGCTGTACACACAAACAAAGACCAAGGTTCTTATAAATAGTATTCTATTAAGAGTGATTACAAATTTATAAGCATTTATTGACATTTCAATATATCTCCATTAGGTCTCCTCTCATTAACTGCAAGCTTCTTTAAAAACAAAGTTCAGCCTTCTGAATATTTCATACGCAATTCATTAAAACAAGTATTATCTAAAATTATAAATGTGTGTATGCCTTAATAAAACAAAGCAAAACAAAACAAAAACCAACAACCATGCAGCTGATATGTAGGTAAAAATTACTTCTGATTTTCAGACAGACAGTGAAAACCAAGTCATATACATATCACTGCTTAAACAAAAACTGTGACACCAAACTTGGGATGGCTGAGCTGCCACGAGTTTGTTTTGCCATGTATCATCAGCAGATATCCATCCCACAAACCTGCAGGTGTTGTTGACCGAGTCCTCAGGGCAGTGGTGGTGGCACTGGCAGGACAGCTTCTTCTGGGGAGGAGCAGGGGCCGTGCTCTCACCGTCTTTTCTGGTCTCCATGCTCAACTTGCCAGAACTTCGCAAGGCCATGTTGTCTAGAAAACTGGCTGTAAGAGAAGAAGAAAAAGAAACAGTTCTATGATGTATTGCAAGACCTGAAACGAAGGCTTTAAACTGCTTCTACCCATCAAAACTTAAGAAAGTTATTTGAGATGAGAGGTCACTACAGAATGTTTTTCTGTAGTTTGACATGGTCACCATGGTTGAGCTTATTGGGCCTCGGTGGTATTAGATCAAAGGTACTGATGTTTGAGCTCTGCCACTGCCTAGAGATATATTGTGCTTTTATTATTATACATTGTACAGTACAGCTTTTCTTCTATTGCATTACACAGGTCAAATCCTGGCTTACACCTCTGAGTTTTCTTTATCTCCACAGCACTCGGCACAGATCTACATTCACTGAACCCCATAAAAATCAGTGGGATTTATGGTACTCCAGGCAGAACAGAACATGAGCATACAATTCAACAAAGTCTTAACTGAAACTGATGTTCTTTCAAATTCAACAGCACGTTCTGTCACTGAATTGCAAAAGCCCTGCTTGGTAAACAAGGGAAAGAGCTCACTTCTGTAAAAGAAAAGTCTATAAACAAAGTAAAAGAGAAGAATGTGGTTTTGGATGAACAATGCTGAAATATATGGAGGTGATTATTTCTAAAAATATCAGAGTACTGAATCTCCATGGAGCTGGTGGAGTACAGCTGGAGATGTTGGTGACAGGCTAGGAGATGTTTAAACACCCTCCTTCCCCCAGCTCTACTCATAAATATCAACTTTCAGTCCTTGTGAAAATTTTAAGCCTCAAAGACAAAAATGAGATTAGCATGAAAAGCTTCAACTGGCAATTCCTCTTTTTGGTTCCCTGTAAGAAATCTTACCAAAGGGTCACTTATAAGCAGCAGTCTCCAACAGAGTAGATGAAGAGCTGGCTTCAAGTGCTTGATTTAATGTTAAGTCTTTATAAACAACTGGTATTATAATTACTTTGATTGCTCTTCACTCTAAGATTTTTCCAAATGACCATCATTAGGATTAATTTATTGTGGAGCTGATAAAAAAAAATTATATCTTTTTTAGCTCCCTATGGAGAGATAGGGTGGGCAAACAGGCAGAGGGGATGGGGACAAGCAGCTGCACTTCAGGGCTTGGACTGCAATCAACAACTGAGGTGATGAGAGTGAGGCTGAAGGACTCTGAAGCAGTGCAGGAAGCACAGGGCTCTTCTACCAGTCCTTGCCCTTAGGAGGACTGAAAAAGCCCAGTCTGGGCTCCTGGGAGCATGGGACCAGCCAGGGCACACCGTGCCTCCAGCTGCACACCCCTCCTCTCCTGTGCCAGCTCTGGTAGCACAGGACAGGCACTGGGACCAGCAACTGGCTGACAGGCTTTTGTTTTCTGCAGTGTAACTTGAGAGAATGCAGCTTATCCCCAGTAAAGTCAGGAAAAAGCTGCAACCTGTTAGCTCTGGGAGAAGTGGGGCTTTGCACATAAGAACACTGCATTTAGAGAAGTGCTAGCCTTTTTAACACCACAGCCCTTCCACTCCTTGCACATTCCTTCCACAAGAGGTATATCAATAACATTAGGGTGATACACATGAAAGAGAATTGTTCACCATGCCAGACTAATGCTCCTATGAATCACAAACTCATACAGCTTGGCCTTTGCTCAGTACCTCTGTATGCCACTGAAACCAACTGGCCTCTTGATCAGCTCACCTCTTTCTAAAGTCAAACCAGACAACCAGTTACAAAATATATACAAACCATGGGCTCATAACCCTTGTGCCCAGCATTAAGATATAAACTGGATTCATGACACAACTGGCTGTCAGCCCCACACTGTTTTCAGTAAGATCTGGCAAAATCAGAACTGAATGCATGAGTTCACTCAATGTGCATTGTGTGTATGTGTTGCTGTGTACTCACAGCTGTACCTTGAGATGAAGTAGATGCTTAAACTAAGGGAAAAACAATGCACTGTTGTTTGTTTCTCCTAATATGATTAGGGAGCCTGCGCATAACAAATTAATATCAAAAGATATTTGCTCTCTGGGTCACAGGATTAGGGATTACCTAAATTCCCTTTCAAACAGCCATTTTTTCAGTAGTACTTTGTTACCATTGGATGGAGAATGTCCATATTAATATTCCTGTCAAGGATTTTCAGACTTCAAGCTCATGAGGCAACCAAGTGAACTTCTAGCTCACAAGCGTAATAGTTTACCCTGTCATTTCCACAGCTCTTTCTACAAGCTACCTGCAGTTTTAGCAGGGATCTTTCTCCAACAGGGAGTGTAAAGACAAAAGCTTACACCTAGCACAAAAAAGGGGGGAAGGTTTAATTATATATTTGATGGTGCCTGAATATGTTAAATTTAGGCAGCTATATGTCATCCTCATAATATATACAACCACAGGTCATTCACTTTTCCAACAAGCATAAAAGAAGTCATACCTAAACACAGTCTGTGGCCATCACTCACCAGTGATGTGATCATGAACAGCTTCTGCAAAACTTGCCATAAACAACAGCTTCCACCCCTAGACCTGTTGCACTCCCAGATATAATAAGACAGGCAGAAGCTGCTGAATTGGAATCAAAAATCTGAAGTACCAGCAAATCATCAGAGGTGGCTATTTAGAGATGTAATGTGGATTTGGGAAAATTTAGGACAGATAGGATGGCATTCAAATTTACACCTTCCAAGAGTTGAAATTAGGAATGCAGCCTAGTATTTTGCTTCCACATAATGCCCAGAGCAAAACTACTGCAAAATCATACCAGTTAATGTCAAATATATTAGATCAAATAAAACAAAAATAGGCAGGAATAAGACAGTTTCAATCAAGCTCTTTTCTGTTTTCTAAAATTTAAAACTCTTCTCACTCTATTCTCTTGCTCCTTTCACACCTTCAATTCCTGGCTGCTAGCTAAAATGATGGGCAGATCTTTTGCCTCTGAAATTCAGGTGTCTCACCCAGCAGATAACCATGGAGCATGTAAGAACTCTTTTCCTCCCACTCAGGGCTGAGTTTCAGCAAGGACTCTTGACTCTATGTCTGCTTGACTTCAGCACAGAAAGGTTTTCCAGCAGTCCCTTCCCTAAAGGAAACGTGCAGGAAGGAACTCACAAGAGAAGTGGGGAGAAGTTTTCAGCTTGGCAACAAGTTCCTCCTGATTTCAGGTGTGAAAAGCACAGTTTGGGATGGTGAACAGCTTGTTCATCCTGCATTTGCTGCTGTTCTGTAACAAGCACATGTTGGTCATGCAGACCTGGCTCTGTCTAGGCTTTAGAAGCCCTTTGGGTTTTGAAATCTCTCCTAGAGCCCTGAAAACAAGAGATTTCAGGCTATTTAATCTTGGCTGCTTCTTTGTTGTAGCCTATTCTGTTGCAGTCTGCTTACAGTCAGCTTCCCATCCCTTAGGAGAAATGCAAAAAACAGTGGTATCAAAAATCAGGTTATTTTAGTCTGCTGAGAAACTCACTGACTGCATCAGGGAATTCATGAAAGCTGTTGATCACCTGAAGCTCATCATCAGACTGGTACAGATTCATCAGGTTCAGCTGAGTTTCTCAGCTTAACTTTCCTTTTCCACTAAAATTCAGCATGCACAAAGCACCATCCACCACAAGGACTGCAAGTCAGCTGCCAGAGCTTTGATGTCCCTTTGGAGTGCTACTCCTGAAAAATATTTTCCTCTCTAGGACTGAGACCACTGGAAACTGTGATGTGATGGCCTCTGTTATGAATCTCTACCTGGAAATGGGGATGTGTGCAACATGCTACTGCCTGGTTTTTTCCATGTGTTAGTGTGTTTCTCCCTCAATGCTTTGTGGTCCTTCCCAGAAAGGAACATCTACAAAGATCCTGAATCCAGGAGAAGGAAAACAATGAAAATAAAGCGCTGTAAAATGAAAGTCATTCTCATGGTCATACAGGATAATGTTAATGCCTAATTTAAACCTCTACCAACCTCCAGAGTCAACAAATAAACCTTCTTGAATATAATCTTCCATCTATCAGGACTAAGATTTGCAGCAAATAACTCTGTGATGTGGCAAACCCTTTCATGGCATTTCAGGGAGTCCTGCTGTAATTTTTTACATGTGTGAGAAGCATCATAGATCCCCACTCCACAATGACAATTAAGAAACTATAAGGATGAATTCTAACTTGGTTTTAAACAGTGTGGTTGTTTGTTGGTTTGACAGGTCTGCAGGCAGTGGTATCTCATACACAAAAGGAAAATCACCCATTTAAGCTTAACACTGGCTCAAAAAAATCTGATCTAGAGAGCCAGCCTTTCAGTGTACATTCAGTCCTCAAACTCTCTGCCATGGCTGCCAATAAGTACTTCAGCCCCAGCCAACTGTAGCCATAGCTATGTGATTTGGACAGAAATTTCTCCACTAGAATCTGGATAAAGCCCAGTGACTCATTTCACACTGGCCCATGGCCATTGGATGGTAATGACTTTTGGGCACTGCTCCGATTCAACAAGTCTGGTAATGCAGGAGGTGAAAAGCTCTTTATTCTGTTTCTCTGTGTTCTGTGGTTTGAATTTTAAGCCATCCTGCGCCTGAAGGATGAAGAATTAGCAATAGTTATCTTAACAGATTGATTTCTGTGCCACAGCTGGGAGATTTATGTGCTGTCTATGCAGTGAAAAAAGCAAATCTGTCATGACCTTGCAGGGGTTCGTAAGGAGTAAAAGTCAGACTTGCTCCTTCCCCAAAGAGATGCTAAGGACAAAAAAAAAAAAAAAAAAAAAAAAAAAAAAAAAAAAAAAGTTCAATACCATCCATTCACGTTTTCCCAGTCTAATAACAACATCTGGCCACCCCCTGACCGCAAGCAAGGCTTACAACTTCAGGGTAGGCACACACCAAAGAAGCTCTACACACCAAGGAACAACTTGTTTCAACATTTTTCAACTGCTCCTTTAAAATGGAAATTAAGGATATTCATACAAAAGTGTCTGAACTGTAATTCAAAACAAACCCAAACAATGCAAACCTGAGAAGAAAATCAGTC